TGCAACAGTGCACCAAGATCATCTCGGTGCTTGACAACTCGTGGGACAACCTCATCCCCACCCTCAACGTTCAGCAGGACAAGTGGACGCCCGAGTGGCTACGGCAGCAGATCCTGCAGGAGGACTTCCGCAGGCGCCACACGGGAGGTGGTGCTGTTAACAAAACTGCTGAGGGGTATGGAGCTGCAGGAGGCAGCAGAGGGAGAGGGGGAGGGAGAGGCCGAGGTCGTGGGAGAGGCTTTGGCAGAGGGAGAGGCCGAGGTGACTACAATGAGGGGCATGGGAGCTCTGGTGGCAAGGGGAGCACCCGAATAGAGGGTGCGTGCTGGTACTGCAAGAAGGCTGGACACCCGTGGTTCAAGTGTTTCAGCCGGCCTGAGGGATGGGCGCCCCCAGGCATGAAGCCGCCAAGTGGTGAACGTGCACGAGGTGGCGCTGTGCAAGGTTCAGGTGCACAAGGTGATGTTGCACAAGGTAAAGCCGACCCTGGGATGTTCCTCATGGTTGAGGATGTGCAAGGGAGTGGGGGTGATGTGGGTTCAGTTGGGAAGGTTGTGATGCACCCCCTCACTCACTGGGTGATCGATTCAGGTTGCACGAGTCATATGACCCCACGGGCAGATTTGCTTGATGAGGTAAAACCTCCTGGGAAGATCAAGTTTGTGGCTGCCGCTTCAGGTGCTTTGCTCCCTGTGATTGGTGTTGGGAATGCCAAGGTGATGGGAGCCAATGGAGAGCTTGTGGGGCTTGGGAATGTGTTGTTGGTTGAAGGTTTGTCCGCTAACCTTCTTTCTGTGCGTCGGCTGCAGAAGAGCAAGGCTGAAGTTACCTTCGGCCCAACCAGCTGCCGTGCAAAGCTTGGGAAGTTGCTGCTGTGGAACTTGGAGGAGAAGAGCAGCTGCATCAAGGACCTATGGCAGCTGCCCATCATCCCTTGGAAGGGGAAACCACCAGCAACAGCAAAGGCAGCGGGAGCGGCTAAAGCAACTGCGGGAGGAGAGGAGTCTGCACCAACTGCTGCGGCCATGGATGCAGTCAAGAAGGTGCAGCAGCCACAACAGCCACATGGTGAGGTGCTTGCTGGTGTGGATGCGACAGCTGCATGGGCAAAGGCTTCATCTGGGAGTGGTGAGGCTGATTGGGAGACGTGGCATGAGAGGCTGTGCCATGTGAACATTCCTATGCTGCAGAAGTTGGTTAAGGATGGGTGCTTGAAGGGGCTGGAGGTGAAGGGGGGAGCAAAGGAGATTGGGAGCTGCCCTACCTGCCTTGAGACCAAATTCACGAAGTTTCCCTTCAGCAGCAGCACAGGGCCAGCCAAGGCACCACTTGCACTAGTACACATGGATGTGGTGGGCCCGACGAGGGCCCTTTCTCTCTCGGGCAGCGGCTACTTCTTGACAATTGTGGACGACCACACACGTGCGGTGTGGGTGTACCCTCTCAAGACTAAGGAGGAGGTGGCAGCGGCTGTTCTTAAGGAGTGGATGCCGAGAGCACAAAGGGAGAGCGGACACAAGGTGAAGGTGATCCGCACTGACAACAGAGGAGAGTTCATCGGCGCTGATTTTGAGAAGGAGCTGAAGCGGAAGGGGATCCAGCATCAACTCACAGTGCCTTACAACCCTCAGCAGAATGGCGTGGCTGAGCGGTTCAACCGGACCCTGCATGAAGGTGCTCGCACTCTCCTTGGGCGTGCAGGGCTGCCGGATCCGTTTTGGGTGACAGCACTGCGGCAGGTCGTTGTTGTGAAGAACCGGGTGCTGGCGACTGTGGGGGACAAGCAATGGGTCCCCTACACCAAGTGGTATGGGAGTGCGCCTGCAGTCAACATGCTGAGAACTTATGGCTGCATGGTGGTGTTTCATGTGCCTAAGGAGAAGAGGGGAAAACTGGAAGCTTCTGGGAGATGGGGTGTGCACTTGGGGCTTGCTAAGGATCACAAGGGCTGGCTGATTTGGGACTTGACCAGCCAGCAGCTGACTGTGTCAAGGGATGTGAAGTTCCTTGAGTCCTTGTACTACAAAGAGTGGAAGCAGCAGCAGCAGCAGAAGCTTCCTACGACACCGCTAATTGTCGAAGCCGATGAGGTGCAGTGGCCTTCGAGGCAGGTGGAGGTTTGTGTCTCCAAGGAGGAGATCTCTGGGGTGACTGATGATGGGGGAGAACCTGAGGTGGAGCAGCAGCAGCAGCAGCAGGAGCAAGGTGCTCCACAAGGTGCCGGACGTACGGCTGACCGTCCTAGGAGGGATGTGCACCCTCCTAACAGGCTGACCTATGCAAGCCGTGGCAAGCCAAAGGTGGTGAGGGCTGGGAGTGTGGCTGAGCAGTGTGATGAGGATGAGATAGCACACTGCTACTGGGCAGCCGTCCCTGAGCCCTAGACGCTAGCTGAGGCATTGAGCGGGCCCGATGCTGAAAAGTGGAAGCAGAGTGTGAAGGAGTATGATTCTCTGTTAGAGAATGAGACGTGGGAGCTGTGTGAGCTGCCACCCGGGAAGAAGGCCATTTCTTCCAAGCTGATTTTCAGGCACAAGTACGGACCTGATGGGGCGCTGACCCGCTACAAGTCAAGGCTTGTGGCTAAGGGGTTTCAGCAGACAAAGGGAAAGGACTTCAACGAGCTCTATGCTCCTGTGGGGAAAGGCACAACACTTCGGGTGTCATTGGCAATGGCAGCAAACCGTGGATGGCGGGTGAAGTAGATGGACATCACCACCGCCTTCCTTAATGGGATCATTATGGAGGAGCTGTACATGTTACAGCCTAAGGGTTTGGATGATGGGAGCGGCAGGGTGTGCAGGCTGAAGAAGGCCATCTATGGCCTGAAGCAGGCTCCTCGTGCATGGTACCACAAGTTAGAGGAGACTCTGCTGGCTGGGGGTTTCAAGAAGAGTGAGTGTGATCACAGCTTGTTCCTGCTGCAGAAGAAGGAGCAGTTTCTCATGCTCCTGGTGTATGTGGACTGTCAAAATTAGAAGGAAGAAAGAGGATTGAACTAGCAAGAATGAGGATACAAATAGCAAACCCTAGAAGGGTTGTACTCGCTATAGAGCACCCCACTACAGGCTAGAACAATAAGATAATATTCTGACATGGACGACATCCTGCTCTTCTCTGATTCGTCTGCAATGATTGAGCATGTGGAGGAGATGCTGGAGATGCAGTTCAAGTGCTCCAAGATGGGAGATGCGAAGTACTATTTAGGGATGCATGTGGAGAGGGACCTTGACAAGGGAGTGTTGAGGTTGCACCAAAGAAAGTATTGTGAGGGGCTAGCTGAGAAGTATGGGCTACAAGATGGAGGAAAGCCAGCCACCCCACTGCCTTCAGGGTTCACTGTGGAGCCCTGTGCTGATGAGGAGGTGGTGGGTGAGAGTGACAGGAAACTTTTTCATTCCATGGTTGGGGCACTCAACTATGCGGCTAACCACACACGGCCTGACATTGCCTGTGCAACATCCAGGCTTGTTAGTGTGGTTTCACGCCCCAGTCATGAGCAGCTGGAAGCGGCCAAGAGGTTGGTCCGCTATGTGAGTGCAACGGCATCAGTGGGTTTGGAGTACAGTGCTGTGAGGCAGAGGCTGCAGAGGGGTGCAGCTGATTTGAGCAAGGGGGAGATGCTCCTGACCTGCTACACTGACGCTAGCTTCAACTCGGTGAAAGCGGATGGCACCAGCATTGGAGGCTATGTGTGCCTGTTCGGAGGTGGTGCAGTGAGCTGGCGCAGTAAGAAGCAGAATGAAGTGGGGCAGTCCTCGTGTGAGACAGAGTACATGGCCCTGCATCATGGGGCAAAGGAGGTGGTGTGGCTGAGGCGTTTGTTGGAGGAGATTGGAGTTGGTCAGAGGGAGCCGACTGTGATTTTCTGTGACAATGAGTCAGCGGTGAAGCTAGCGAAGAATGCTTGTCTTCATGGGCTGACCAAACACATCAGGCCTAAGTGGCACTGGGTGAGAAGGCTCCTGGACAAGGAGGTGCGGCTGGAGATTGTGAAGACCCATCAGCAGGCGGCTGACATTCTCACCAAGCGCCTGGCTGAATCTGAGCATTGGAAGGGCATGAAGCTTGTGGGGATGAGTGTGCATTGAGGTTGCATGCTTGAGCTATGACATGTGGGATGATGGTTGGTAGCCAGAGGGGGAGTTTGTTGAGTGATGCTACCATTCGCATTCACGTCTGTCTGCCTCCCATCATATGTTCGTGCGTTGCATGCGTGTTGTGAGTGTGTGCAGAAATTTGTGTTTTGTGCGGTTTGGTTTTTCTGAGTGTGTGTGTGTGTGTGTGAATGTTATTTGGCTTGAGCAGATATCTGAAGTGACTCCTCTGCTCAAGAGCTTTCCGAGGAACCAAGTATCGCTTCAATCGGAGCACGAACAAGAAAGTTACGAACGTTGGAGTTCGTATGCTTTTGATATTTGGTTGTGGTGACTATGGGAAGTTGTGGGGTTGACTCAATATGGGGTACAGACTTTTGAGGGTTGGGAAATTCGTCTTTTCTACTGTAGTTGCTGCCAAATGGTTGGGAGAAACCAAACCAGGCTGGCAAGTGTGGCCAAGTTGGGTTGAGGTGGATTGTGGAGGTTGGGATAGTGACAAAGGTCAAAGTTGGGTTGCCTATGGGGAAGGGAATTGTATGGCATGGGGTTTCCTTGGTTGGGGACTCTCTTGGGACCTTCCCTCTCGTCCTCCTCATCCCTTCCACCTGGTTTAGTGCTACTCCAATTCTCTTGTGTGAACTTTGTGATTGAGTTAAGATTCTATGGCAGCATACCCCCTAGTGCGCCAAAATTGATAGCTCAAGAAATACTTCACCTTTTTGCATGATTCAACTTGGGAATCGTAGCCACGGAGTAGAGCTACAACATATTCGAGTTTGATGAAGTTTTGACTGTGAAATTATCGTCGACGGCGTTTCTTGTGAACTCGACGTTTCTGTTCAGAAACTAGGCCCAACGATGTTGAGATATTTTTGCTACTAATCTTCATAGACTCCGTCCTCAGTCTCTAACAGGAGGGACCGGGGGAGACCAGAGACAAGGACACGGGAGGCCATGCCTCGGAGACGAGGCAGGGAAGGGTGACCAAGGCGGTGGTGCCAGAAGAGAGTCTGGTGGGACAGGAGACGACACGACCAGGGAGCAGACACAGGACCAGACCTGGAGGCTGCAGCAAACACCTGATTCGACGCAGCTACGTGACTAGACTCAGCAACCGGAGGAGACTCACTAGTGAGTGTGTACTGGCTTGACCCCGACCGACATTGGGTCACCCGCTGACTCGGAGGAGTGAACTGGTCAACCACCCCATCCTGTAGGTCAGCACCACTCACCAAGTTTGTAGAGAACGAGGGGAGGTAGAGACCTGACAGGGTGCTAGAGGGGGCTGCCGTACACGGAAAGATAGTGGAGAAGCGAGCAAGGACACGACCCCCAGAGGGGTCCGCCAGGGAGACCGCAACCGACTGACTAAGCGGCGTAAGCGTGGTGCGGTCTGAAAAGAAGGAGCGGGAAGCACCCGAGTGAAGGGTGAAAGTGTGTAAGGCCTGAGCCAACGTGGTACCTGAGAGAGCAGACTCACCAGCAGCTACAGCAGGCGCATAAGCACCTAGAGAAGCACCCTCACCAGCACCTAGAGCAGCATTTTCAATGCCCGGGTCAGGCGGAACACACATGTAACAGTCACCCTCATCACTAGTAGACACAGCATACATGGCAGCAAGAATAGCATCATCATCAAGATCAAAGATAGCAGCCCCCGCCCTACACAGCTCTCTCCAGCGAGGGATCTCAGTGGCGTCAGGGAACTGGTGACGCCAAGCGTCCATCAGGCGGCCGAAGCAGCACTAGGTGGAGTGCGAGCCCCCGCAGTGCTCACCAGCGCGGTCGCAGGTACGGAGGACGTAGGTACAGGGACCAATACCCCCACCTCGCTGACTCCCAGTGTACCTATCACGAAGCTGCTGGGGGGACGGGGTCTCACGAGTGCGCTGCTGCAGCTGGCGCGGACTACCACTGGAGCCACTGCTGTGTGCAGAGCCGCGACTAGCTGCATTGTTGCCGCCGCCGCCGCCTCCGCCACCTCCGGCGCCTCCGCTCCCACCGCCACCTGCTGCCGCCTCCTCCGCCTCCACTGCTGCCACCGACACCTCCACCCCCGCCACCACTCCCACCACCACTCCCACCCCCTCCATTGCCTCCACCGCCACCTCCACTGCCCCCGCCAGCCCCTCCAGCGCCCTTACCTCCCTTGCCCTTGCGGGTGCGGCGTCTCCTGCTAGGGGAAGACGTAGCGCCGACCGACTCGAACCCAACGAGGTCAGCCACAGTAGCAGAAGCAAGAGAGGGCAAGAGGGGGAAGGGGGAACACCTCTCAAAGACGGGGGTATGAGGGTCACCACAAGAGGCTTTTACAGCGACTATGCTCTTCTCTGCTGCCAGGAGGTGCTCCTTGAGGAGGTCAACGGTGAGTGTGGTGGGGCAAACTGGGAGGAAGTGGTTCGTGACTAAGCGAAGGAATTCAGGGAGCCGGTTGACTATGTAGTAGAGGGTGATGTACATGGGGGGAGGGTTCTTGGCACAGAACTCAGCAGGAAGCGCAGCGCGGTAGCGAGTGTGACTAGTGCAAAGGTGAGTAATGAGGTCAGCGACTATGGGAAAGCCAGCAAGGTCACGGAACAGTTATGGCAGCATGAGGTGGCTAAGAGCAGCAGTGTTAGGGGAAGAGTAGCTTGCAACTAGTCCGGGTGGGTAGGGTCGGTGCGCGCCGATAGGAATAGTAGCGGATCAACGGCGGCTCGGCGGCTCCGTGGCTCCGCTCGGTGGCTCGGCGGCTCGGCTGCTGGGCGGCTCGGCTGCTGGGCGGCTTGGCTGCTGGGCGGCTCCACTGCTGGGCGGCTCGGCTGCTAGGCGGCGCGGCTGCTGGGCGGCTCGGTGGCTTGGCGGTTCGGCTACTTGGCAGCTGAAGGGGCCGTGAAGGGCGGCGACGGGGCCTCTAGAGGCAGTGACGGGGCCGCTAAAGGTGGCGACGGGGCCGCTAGAGGCCGCGACAAGGCTGCAAAGGGCGATGATGGGGCCGCTAGAGGCGGCGACGGGGCCGCGAATGGCAGCGACGGGGCCGGGAAGGGCGGCGACGGGGCCGCTAGGGGCGGCGACGGGGTCGTTAGGGGCAGCGACGGGGCCGCAAAGGCGCCGCGACGGGCCTGGAACAGTGGCGGCGGGGCCGCTAGGGGCGGCGACGGGGCCGCAAAGGGGCCGCGAGGGGCCTAGAGTGGCAGCGACGGGGCCGCGAAGGGGCCGCGAGGGGCCTAGAGGGGCAGCACCAGGACCGCAAAGGATGGCAACAGGGCCGTAAGGGGTGGCGACGGGGCCACTAAGGGGTGGCGCAAGGGGCCGTGAGAGGCGACGTGAGGGCGGCCAACAGGGCGCGCCTCTGGCAGGGGCAACTCGCGCTCCGGTCAGGAAAAAAAATCAATTTCAGTGGTGGGCCCTGAGAAGCGTTCCCACTAGGGAACTTGCTCTATACCATGTGAAAAAATGAGAAATGAATGAACTAGCAAGTAGGTGGGTACATGTAGGAAAACCTAGAAGTGTTGTACCCCATATTGTCGACCCTACTACAGCCTATACAGACTATAGCATACGAGTTTGACAGCTGCAGCAAACACCTGACCCGACGCGGCTACCTGACCAGACACAGCAACCGGAGGAGACACGGTAGTCAGGGTGTACCGACTCGACCCAGGCTGACGGGTGAACATGGCCAGGTGTCGGCCCGTTTGAGTACATGAACAGTAGGTCACCCGCTGACCTCCAGGGGTGAACTGGTCAACCCACGCGTCCTGAAGGTCAGCTCCACTCACCAAGTTCGTGGAGAACCAGGGGAGGTGGAGGCTAGAGAGAGAGCCAGACGGGACCGCCGGACACGGCACGACTGTGGAGGAGTGTGCCAGGACCGGACCTCCAAAGGGGTCAGCCAGAGAGACTGCGACTGGCCGACTGAGCGGCAAGAGTGTGGTGCAATCGCAAAAGAAGGAGCAGGAAGCACCTGAGTAAATAGTGAAAGTGTGCAAGACCTGAGCCGACGCGGTTCCTGAGAGAGCAGACTCGCCAGCACCTAGAGCAGCAGACTCACTAGCACCTAGAGTAGCAGCCTCAATGCCCGGGTCGGGCAAAACACACAGGTAACAGTCATCCTCAGCACTAATAGTCACAGCATACATAGCAGCAAGGATAGCATCATAGTCAAGATCAAAGATAGCAACCCGCGACCTAAGCAGATCACCCCTGCCAGGAAGGTCCGTGGTGTCGGGAAACTGTGCACGTCAAGCGTCAGTCAGGCGGCCAAAACAGCGCTCCGTAGCATGCCGCCCTCCGCACGTCTCCCCACTGCACTCGCCGGTGCGGAGAACGTAAGCGCACAGACCAGCACCCCCAGACCTCCCACCCCCAGCGTAACACCCAGGAAAATGCTGGGGCGATAGAGTCTCACGAGAACGCAGCTGCTGCTAGCGCTGGCCACCACCAAAGCATCCACGCTGCACAGCGCCACCCCGACCAGCACCACCACTGCCGCCACCCCCACTGCCGCCGCCGCCGCCGCCTCCACACCCACCACCGCCACCGAAGCCCCCACTCCTGCCACCACCCCCACCACCACCCCCACCCCCTCCGCCGCCTCCAACGTCACCACCGTCGCCCCCACTGTCTCCTCCAGCACCCTCCTGCCGCTGCAACGGCTCCCACTAGGAGTAGACGCAGCGCCGACCGATAAAGTGCCAACGAGGCCGATAGCAGCAGCAGAGGAAACAGAAGGCAGAAGGGGAACGCGGGAGCACCCCTCAAAGAAAGGGGCATGAGGGTCCCCACGAGAGGCTCCTACAGCGTCTACACTTATCTCAGCTGCAAGGAGGTGCTCCTTGAGGAGGTCAACGGTGAGCGTGGTGGGGCAAATGGAGAGGAAGTGGTCCTTGACCGAGCGAAGGGAGTCAGGGAGCCGGAAGACGAGGTAGTAGAGAGTGATGTATGTAGAGGGGGGGGGGGGGGGGGGGGGGGGGGGGGTTTGTGGCGCAAAACTCGGCAAGAAGCGCAGCGCGGTAGCGGGTATGACTAGTGAGGAGGTGCGTAATGAGGTCAGCAACTGTGGCAAAAGCAGCTAGGTCTGACGAGAAACGAGAATGGATGCATTGAGCAGAATGAGGAGTACAAGTAGCAAACCCTAAAGTAGTGTACCCCATATGAACTGCCCCACTACAACCTACATAGACTATAGCATATATGCCTGACACACCCCCATAGGCAAAGTGGGGGAGAAAACGGGGTCACAAGACCAGTCAAGCAAAGCAAAGCAAGCTCACGATGGATCACAAGGTCACCACACAGTCCGAGCACAAGAGCAAGGCAGCAAGGCCAGTTCATATGCAAGATCATATATATAAATGTAAACAAGCAAGTGCAGGTATAGAAAGAGTAAAGTAAAAACAAGATCTAGAAGTGAGAAAGTGAGGCCAAGTAGGTACAAGACCTAGCAAAGTACAGAAGCGCTGATGATCACAAGGCGGAAGGGCCTTGGTGAAGATATCAGCGGTATTGGCCTCAGAGGCCACGTAGGTGAGGCAGAGCTGACTCAGCTGCTGCACCTCACGAGCCAGGAAGTAGCGGAGAGCAATGTGCTTTGTTCTGTGCTCCAGTCTGTGCTCCCAACACAAGGCCAGCATGGCCTTGTTGTCAACAAATAGAACTGGAGAAGAACAAGGCGGCTCTCCTAGGTTAGTCAGCAGGTAGGTAAGCCAGCATAGCTCCTGTGCAGCCATGGCCCCTGCGTATATCTCAGCCTCATAGCTGGAGCCGAGAACAGAAGACGAGCAGGTTGACCGCCACGAAACAGAGCCGGAGCCAAGGCTGAAGGTGTAACCATGTGACAACCGCTGCAGAGCCTGGTCGTCAACCCAAGAAGCGTCTGCATGACCTCTGAGGACCACTCGACATTGCCCTCCAAGCACTAGCCCCATGCCCGATGTACTGCACATGTAGCGCAACACCCTCTTCGCTACAGCCATGTACTCTGGTTGGTGTCTCCCAGGAGCAACGATGCGTGCCAAGATGCTAAGAGGGTATGCAAGGTCAGGTCGAGTGCAGGTCATCAGGTATATGAGGAAGCCAACATGCTCTAGGTACGGGCCACTTGACTCTACGGACTCATTCGAAGGCAGAGCTGAGAGCGAGTGGCGAGTAGACAGAGGAGTGGCGTGAGGCGAGGAGTACGTGAAGCCGAAGCGCTAAAGGACCTGCTGCACCATGTGTGACTCGGTCAGGGTAATGGTGCGCTGTGCTCTATCCCGGGTGATCTGCAAGCCAAGGTAGCTGTGTAGTTCACCCAGGTTTGTGCACGTGTGTCTCTTGTGTAGCTCCGACTTCACGTGGGCGAGTCCAGCAGTGGCAAAAACCAAGTCGTCGACGTACACGAGGATGTAGAACGGCGGCGGAGAGGTGTCGGTGCGCAGAAACAGCGACGGATCGGGTGTAGAAGAAGCAAACCCAAGAGCCGCAAGTGTAGTCCTCAGTGTGTCTTGCCACTCACGCGGCGCCTCACGGAGACCATAGACTGGCCGCCGGAAGCTCCACTGGGTACCAGGAGGAAATGACCCAGTGAAGCCAGCTGGGTGGCGCAGCCAAATCTCCTCGTGCAGGCTGCCGTGCAAGAAAGCTGTGCTGAAGTCAAGAGAGTGAAGCTCGTTGTCGCGCTGAGCGGCTATGTGCAGCAGCACCCATAGAGTGGTCATCTTTGGGGTGGGAGAGAAGGTCTGAAAGTAGTCAACTCCCTGCCGCTGACTGAAGCCTCGAGCCACGTAACGCGCCTTGAAGACAGGCGAAGAACCCGGTGGCCGCTTCACCCTGAAGATCCACATGCGACTGACGATGTTCGCCCCAGGTGGGGGAACCTCGTCAACGTAGGTGCGTGTGGACTTCCAGGAAGCCATCTCTGCGTCCATGGCCGACTGCCACTTAGAGGAGTAGGGGCCCTTGATTGAGGAGTCGGCATGTCTGGTGCATCCGGGTCTCCCTCAAGGGCAATCACCGTGGACACGAGATGGGGCAAAGCAGCAGCAAAGCACTGGAACTCCTCGTGCCTGTCCTCAAGGACGTCCGTGCCAAGAGCACACTCACCCCCGACGGACGGAGGACAAACAAACGCAGACTCAGCAATGAGACGAGTAGCGTAGTCTAGACGACAGCGAGCACCAAAGTCGACAAGCTCAGCAACTAGGGCAGACGCAGCAGTGGACTCAAAGGAAGGGTCAGTAACATTAGTAGCCAGGAGACGCGTGACAGAAGGACTAGCAGCACAAAGAGAGTGATTCTCTGGGTCAACAAGCGTAGGAAGAGAGGACTCTGGAGGAGACGGCTACGGGACACGCACAGGAGCAATGGAAGGACGCAGCGCCATCTGGTGTGTGCCGGGGACCGCAAGAGGACGCGGACGCGCAGCACGACCACTAGTGCGAACAGCACGAACAAGCAATGCAAGACAAAACCCATGCTCACGACGCTCAGCAAGACCTCCAGTAGGATAAATGTAGGGAGAAGGAGCAGGTAGAGGGGAGGCGGGCTGTAACTGTGTCAGCGAATGGATGGGCTCTGGACACTCTAAGGGAGGAGCAGGACCAGTAGAGGGCGGGAGACCAAGAACCTGCTCCAGGAGCGCAACAGAGTACGGCCTCGGCCACCCAGCGCCTCCAAATTCAGCAGCGCCAACTCCAGCACCCTTAGAAGCACTAGCGCCAGCAGCACCGCCAGCGTCAACACCCCTAGCAGCTCCCGCTCCAGCAGCTCCAGCTCCAGCAGCACAAGCTGGAGTAGGACCGTCAGCTCCAGCAGCCGCTGCAGCACCCCCAAACGCACCAGCGCCAACACCCTTAGCAGCTCCAGCTCCAGCAGCACCATCACCGCCAGCAGCTCCAGCAGGACCACCTCCAGTAGCCCCATCAGCACCCCCAGTTTGAACAGCTCCAGGACCGCCAGTACGAGCACCTCCGGGCCAGCAGGAACAGTAGCACCTCCAGCTCTAGCAGCACGTCTCCAGCAGCGGGCAAACCACTCGCGCAGCTCCTACGGAGAGAGCGGCTCCCACCTCGACAAAGCACCGCCGACGACCACACGAGCAGACCCAGCACCCCCAGGCTCCGCACCCCTAGACCCTGCACCCCAAAGCTCAGCACCCCCAGACTCAGCACCCCCAGACTCAGCACCCCCAATCTCAGCACCCCGAGTCTCAGCACCCCCGCAGGCTCAGCACCTCTAGTAGCACCAGAGTCAACAGCTACCTCAACATGCTTGAGTGCGTCTACCTAGGACACACCTGACGAGGCAGGACCCTGAGGGGGGAGGGGGTCTACCGGGGGAGGACTTGGCGCAAGGAAGAGTGGCGGCGGGGGGAGGGGCGCTATGCGGTAGGGGAAGAGACGGTAGTAAGGCACCGACTCGTCAAAGGTGACGTCGTGGGAGGACAGAATCCGGTGCACGGTGGGGTGGTAAAACTGCCACCCAGGCGCGTCAGGGGGGAAGCCAAGGAAGACGCAGGGAACAGCACGAGGGGACAGCTTGTCTGCAGACAAGTCGCAAACAAATGCTCAAGATCCCCAGACCCGAAACGCAGACGCATTGCCAACTTTCCCTGTCCACCGCAAGGTGGGGGAGGTCTCTGGCAAGGAGACCTGGGGCTGAAGGTTGAGCTGATGCGCGACATACTCAACCGCAAACGGCCACAGAAAATAGGGGGCAGCCGCATGCATCATGGACGTACGAGCAACGTCCATGACCATGCCAATGCGGCGCTCAGCAATCTCATTTTGCTGTGGAGAGGCCGGAAGCGTGAAGGTCTGGTGGATGCCCTGTGCACGACACAAGGCTTCCAGACGGGCAGAGGAAAACTCCCCGCCTCTGTCCGAGTGCAGAAACAGAACAGGAAAGTCCGAGCCGAAACTCTCCCTCAGCTGGAGACGAGCTGCGCGGATCCAGCCAGTCAACACCTCAGTGGCGTCACCCTTGCTGCGCAAGGGTAAGATTGTGGTGTACAGGAGTAGTCATCAACCACCAGCAGGAAGTACCGCTCGCGCCCCTGCCCATTGACGCGGGCGGGGCCCCACACGTCCATGTGGAGAGTCTGCAGCCGAGCCTCTGTCGGAGGAACTTGGAGGAGTGAGGGGCGCTGCGCTGACGCCCC